ATACTTCAAATTAATATAAATTGTCACCAGCTATGTATGTTTTGTAACAATTTTGTCAACCTGGTATTCGGCTTTTCCGTTGTTGAATCAAACTGGACGCTTTCGAAGACCATTAGGTATATTTTGATGTTTGTATTTCTCCAGACAATTTGTCTAACCTAAAGTGTTCATTGTCTCTACTAAGGCCATGTTTTATCGAGTTCGTTAATTGAAACCTGCTGTATGGGCCGACTGAACCCAGTCTGCCGCGTTCGCCTTCTTCATCCTTTCGACCGTCCACTTTTATCAATGACCAAGTGTATGATGATTAGATGATGGTGGACTTTCGTCCCGGTCGTCGTTGTTTCGAATAATAATCGATGGCTGGCACATAGTCGTCCTGTTGCTTTCGAAATTATTATTGTTATAATCAGTACTCTTTGTGAACGCTTTCCCTCGAATAAGCGCGGCACAAGTTTACCATGCACCTTTTTAGCTAGGTTTATAATTATGCAGATATTAGTTGTTTATAGTTGACACTAAGCGATTACTGTAAATGGCAGACAAGTGCAAAGGAATAGCGTGTCCGTTACACTCTGCAAGACAGAACAAAGCGCTTTTGTGTTGTAAGAGATATTTCTAGTTGAAGCTCAATTTCTCAGTAAACTTATGGTGCTGACGGTATTTACGAACTGATAATTTAATAACAGAATATTGCCGGATAACTAATCGAGTCAGAAGGATACAATAACTAGTGTTTGATGCGTGACAACTAGATAAGCATTTAAAAATAAAAATATCACTTAATTTGATACCATTCAACGTTATATATATTATTATAACGCTCCGTTATATGCGTTATTGATGACGACTTTTATGACAATGTAACAGGCAAAGTACCGAATAGACAAACATATCTGAGCATTATCAATCTTGTTACAACGAATGTACAAATACATGTCATAGGGATTGGGCTGGATAGCTCTAATCCCTTTATATACAAACACCAAAAAGCTATTTGTATCTGCATCATATAAACGTTTGCGCCGAATCAATCTCAATGCTAAACACGATGTGCTTTCTTAAAATGTTTACTGTCTAAGGCAGATGCAAGCAGATACAGACTGCTCTGAGAACCCTCAGGGGGCAGAATCTCCTACATCAGATAGGGTAAAGTACAGACTCTTGCTCTACATCTTACCATTTTCAGAGAGAGAGCTCAAGTTGTTGAAATCGGATTCATCATTTCTATACATCCTTGCGCACGCTGCTTCCTTGTTTTTGCTAATATGCACGTATGCGCGACATGAAATACGGTAACCCTACAGTTTTTCTCATGAGTACGTGAGACGGGCAGACATCACACTACGAGCAAACTGAGTTTCCCGGATGATGTTGCCCGCTACCAGCACTGATCTTCAACTCAAAAGGAGCCGAAACTCAAAACCGAAAAAAATATTTACATATAAAATGGGTGACTCTCTAACGGGGGCGTCTATGCTGGCGTTAGCCGAAATAAACGTTTATTATAATAACATACAATAAATAGAATGATTAATCCCTGGAATTATCGTGTCCTTAGGCAGACCGCGATAAGACCTATCCAACGGACGATAATCGCACCATTAATTTTGAAATCGATTTTTGCCACTTTTGAACCGGAACTACCAAAATCATCTTTTTTGTCAGGTCGTTCTTAGAGACAAAATCTAGCATGCAATATGTAAATTATCTCTCGAATACGATCGACTAAAGTTAAGAAAAGAAAAGAATAATTTAAAAATAAATCGCAATTTATATGATGCAGATGAAGAGATAGTGCATCTCACAAACATGCCGAAGTTGCCGAAGTTTTTTGCAAACACTCGTTTATTAAAATCAAATTGTCTAAGAAGTCCAATTCTGACAAGAATTTTCTCCGTTTCATCCAAACGCTTACATAGCAATCAGAAAATTTGCTTTGCCACTCCAGCAAGTGTTAGAGGCGCATGTTTAACGTGATTTGTAAGCTTCAAAAAGACAGACGGATGTTTTATTTACACACCTGATTAATATACGATATCTAGAAGATGAACGATTGTGAACGTGGCATTGAGAAATAAAAAAATCATTGATTTTTACCTTTACAGAAACTTTTTCTAGGAAAGGCAGTTGAAAGTATTTTTCCTAATTTTCGAAGCCTGTGCAAATTGCAACTACAGTAGTTCTGCCCCAAAGTGTTCGAGCCAGCGGTTATACTTCTTAGAGATGGGCAAAAGCAAACTTATACTCTGGGCGGAAGTTGGTATCGTACAATTAGCTTTTAAACGTAGGTTGATAGTTACTCTACAGTTGATAGTTTTTAAATGTTTACCTATGGCATTCTTAGCTTCAGCCTACTCTGGACCTATTTTCAATTTTTTCACTGCCTAGGCTAACGGGTAATAACTATAGTACTTTAGTAAACAGTGTAATACTTACAGGCAAAGCATTAATAAACAACACTTTAGGCCTTCTTGAACAGTTGACTTGCTGAATAACACGAGCAAAAAACAAACTTCGGAACTTAAATCAAAATATATAAAAATGTAGATCGATCTACCAGTATACGACAGCATGAATGTTGGAACAATTATTAGAGGTCTATCTAGGTATGTCAAGTAATAGTCAAGTACTTGATCGAAAGAACTTCGTTGTTGGATTGATCCTTCACCATTCTACATTTTTACTCATCATTCTACACAAGTGACGATTTGTAAACGATGGCCGCATCGGTAAATGTAGACGCGACTACCGACAAATAGGCGCTGGTATTTCGCAACCCTAGTCTATGGTGTTCGAAGTCATTTCTTGAAAAGCCAACAGAGTGACCAAGCTGTCACGCTGCTAACCGCCGTCTCGTCATTTAAGGTTGTGCAAGAGGCTTTCACATACCCAATAATATCGAGCTTGCCCAACATCAAATCCACCGAGGCAATGCGAAAAGAGACACCTGCTGACGAATGAGATAGTGGATAGACAAACTGTTACGTCTGACTCGAAACCCCACATTCCGTAAACAATAGATTGGAATATGACGGTGGCACAGGAGCACTCGAGTGCATACGGGCATGTGTGCAAGATTGCCTGTGCTATGAATAGAATTCACGTAGAATTTTAATGGCCGTCCTTTGAGCAAATCGTATCCAGTTGTTCTCAAACGTATGTGAATTGCCGTAAAATATTGAAGCGTAGAGTGGGGCCACGAGAAAAATACAACTATTTAGGAAAACCACATTCGTTGAAATAGACACTGTCACTGTGTAGTTCATTCGTCCCTTGAAGGCATCTGCTCCATAAGTTCACACTATAAAAGCAATGGATGCTATCCGTTTGATTAATGGCATCCATCGATAAGGTAATAGATCATGGCGTTGTGCTAGAAATTATGTACGCCTACTTATAAATACAGGCAATCTTCTCACAGTAGAGCGTCTTATGTATTTTTAATAATACGTCATTTTCAATATATCACACAAGAGATAGTAAAAAAAAAGAAGCTAAATGGGCGTCTTCAGAGGAAACGTGTTTACGCATCGGCTGTTTTTCTTCTCATATCGCATTGAAATTAGCGGGTCATCTAAAATGGAATATTAAGCAGATTGAGGACGACCCCGACTGACTGCAGTTCGTGAGTCAACAATTAACATAATTATAGTAAATATTACTATGTGTTGTCGATCTGGGCTGAGCGAGTTCATTTTAGCGTATGAAGAATGAATCAACAACAAAAAGGTCATCAAACGTCACGTTATTAATGGCGAACTCAGCCAAGAGCGTGCTTTTACATCACCATCACCTTAAAAGAATCCATCCATGGAGCCATAATCTGTCACAATAGATTGATAAATTCCCTAATTTCACAGAGTTTTTTCACAGCGTTGTGCCAAAGGAAAATGAATTTTCGTGGAAATTTGTCGCATATTCAAGATAAAGTATTAAAATATAGAATACAGTAACACAAATACTATTGAATTTTACCGGCGTCTTTTCTATAGGCCTATTGTACGAACTTAAACTTGCTTTGGAAGGGGATTGTTCTGAAATACGACTGTGCTCATCAAATAGAGTTAGACTTTGTCTACTACGTTACAAGTTAGTCTTATTTGTGCTATAAAGAGGCGAGACAGCCCTGTGCTTGGAATGGGTATCTTCAATATTTGGCCGTCAGTAGCTCAGTGGTTGTTGAAAGGAGAGCGAAGATGAAATGATCGTGACAGGCGGGATGAAGAAAAACCAAAACGAACAGTTTTCATCAGAAACTATGAGGTATTTCTTTAATTTTTTTAAGAAATCACTAATTTGTGTAATATCTATCGTCGCACAATCGTTGTTGTTAAAATGCTATTAAAGGTAAACTTGTTTCTCACATACTTTTACAGCATCGCACTGTCCCTTCTTTGGTTCATGTAGCTCTTATGAATCAAAAGATGCTTCATTAACTAATGTAGTCGGGTATTTCCATCTACCATCAGCAAATACATTGGCAAAACAGTTCCGCCTAAGATGATTTCATTTATATATATATATATATATATGCTGAGATTATTTTCCGAAATATTGATGTGGCATTGGCGGAAACGAAAGCAGTAGCCCCTAGCGCCTTTGAAGCAGAAATTTAGAATCAAGCTGACAACTCTCCCAGATCTTTCTTGCTTTAAAAAATTCCCGTGTATCGTATATTACCTTCGAATATGATCTCTACCAAAAGTGTGGGCATTCAACTGCTGCAGATAAAAAAAACAGGTAAGCGATATAAAGCGGAAAATTGTAGACGTACTGAAAAATGCAACTGCTTAATGGTGTAGAAACAAGCTCCACTAGAAACATAAGTGCCCAACTAAGCGACCTTCGAGATCTTTTACCTGACTGCCCGATGGGCAACATTATTAACCTTTCTAAAAGAATTAGGTGGTCATTCACGCGATAAGCTCTGAATATCTCACTGTCGCAAAACTGGCGCACACAGTTAACAATTGTTCTATTAGAGACCATTAATAAATTTTTCCGATATGTCATACATTCGGAAGGTATGTTTTCATTACAAGGGATTTGGATTTTTCAAGCATTATCCCAACGCATAGGGCCGTTTTCCTACCGCCTACCCCCCATGAAGGACTCCGATAGCGCTCGTTAGGTAACATCCCTAGACGTAGCCTACTTTACCATCATAACGACCGGTCTAATCTAGCTACCGAAACTTGAAATTAAGTGCAGTATCGAATACCGTAGGTTTCCTCGTGACGTCAACCTATGCATATGCAATCTAAGTAAATCTGAATGAAGGCAAAGGGTGAAAAGTTGTCTCTTCAAAGGCGTTTCCGTCTTCGGAATACTTCCCGTGATATTTCCCGCTGTATGTATAACTTTTGGCCAATGCGTACGCTAGTGCCAGTCAAATTTTTACATACCGATAACCCATAACGCATAATAAATAGAGCAATGATTAATTCAACGTTCCCCATAATGGTATTCTATTTACGCTATACTTTATTATTATTGCGCAAGTTCATCATAAAAAAACAAGTTCATCACAAGCATCTTTTTAGAGCTCGGTGCGCAACTTCTACTCGTTTTAAGATAGCAGCGAGTACTTAATTTACAAATGTAGCGTATCAATGGCCCCCCTGTCGGTTACCTACAGATTGTCAAACACAGCTTAGGGAGTTAAAAGTTAGGGTGAAACCATCAATGTGGCCTTATTTTGTAATTTCGAAATCAAATTATTAAAGGACTCAGCTGAATAAAAAATATTTCTCGTATCCCATCAGCAATGATTAAAGTTCACTTCAATAATTAGCTAGTCCAATTACGGTTTGAGCCGCATGAAAAGACAATAAGGGTCCCAAAACCTCACGCAAGTAGTTCTTCTTTCGGCCGAAATATAAATGGAAATTAAATAAATGGAAAAGGAAAATAAATAAAATAATAATGACAGGTTGTTTTGCCGCATATGTTAGTCACTAGAGCTAGAATCCTCGAGCTTAAGGGAGATTGCTTATTGAAACACTTCGTTTACGTACTGTCACTGTTTATCTCCTAGCAACTGTTCTTATATAATATTGAACGAAAACTAGAATCTTATCTACACAAAGGTGATTTTTGTTTCCTAGCACGAGCACTGGTTATCACATATTTAAGTTTCAATTTTGAACAAATTTTCAGCGTTAGCAAGTTTATCAATGATTGATCTGTTTACGGTCCAACGAGATGTTTTAGTTCCTATCAGAGTCATCACTTAAGGTGATTGCTAGAGTGACATCAAGGTGCGGATTGAATTCGATTTCCGATAGCTCAGAGTGCGATCTGGCGTTATTTTGACAGACGCATAGATTGACAGGACATCCCCTTGATTGGGATATGCGAGCCAAGTACACAGCCCAAGCTAATGGTTTATTCCGCATGCAGCTGATGACTCGAACAAATTGTATTGTGTATTTGTTCCAGATCGAATTCTGAGGGCCAGGCTACCTTAACGCTCCCTGACTATAACTGACACTTTGAATTTAGAGTAAGGCACGATAAATTACACAAGAGATTGGCCTGTACTATACATTAATCCAATAATTGATGGCCGTGCTAACTACGTAAACACAATATCCAAATGGCTAGATCAGTACTCTATTCCGTTGATTTATCCAAATTTTAGCATATAATACATTAACACTAAGAATCTGAAACAGCCTTTCGTACAATAGGCAGTAAATACAGGATAGCTTCACATAACAATACTATTTGATTGACGCATATTATGTTTTCTAAAAATGCTTTATTCAATATACCTCTATTGAGCTATAGTTTGATAGAGCGCTCGAAGACGGAGCCAAGACCTTGAAAGGCCGCCAAAAAAGTTAATATTCACGCGTTTTACATAAGTTACTAGTAAGTGGGATAACCTGAGCCAAAGAACACATATTAACACGGCTACGACCTTTATCACCGTTAATAACAAACAACTAGGTGTCATGCGACCCATGAAGTCTTTCTCCGAATGATACTCAATGGACCTTTGGACTGCTCCCTCTTTCGTCGATTCGTAATCATCAACAAATTACAAAAATTCGCACAAAGACAAGGGCACTGTGTTGATTGTGGCTGCCATATCTGATAGCCCTCTTTTTAGACCAACCCGACGTGCATATCAATCTACTGTTTCAAAGAGTATTAACATGGCCATGCGTATGCACATATACATATCTTACCCTCGGTGACAATACTTGAATCGGGTACAAGGGGCATTCTGTTGTCAAAAGCGGCATAGAGCCTCAGGGTTCATCTCGATGCTTCGCCCATCGAGGCAGACTGCAATTTTTGAACTGTCAGCGCCAACACCCTTGACAGCGGATAATTTTTCTGAAATTTGTTGAGGCCCATACTTTGTGTTTAAGCTACTGTTATACTAAAAACAAATTATCTAGAATGGCATTTTTATGCATCCCTCGTAGTTCTTATTCGGTAGACGTACTGAGTGCCTAGCTATGAAATTTACATCAGACAGATTCCTTCTAATCCTGAAACAACGCTGTATGTAAAATCTGGACGTGACTTATAATGATACTTAGGGATCAGGATAAGGATGCATCGAAAACACGCGTTAGGCTGAATGATATAACTGAAACCTAATTATACTGGAGAGCATACAATCTGAAAGGTCCGACCTTACATGTAGCAGGCCTCTTAGTGACTGTCTAAGTAGACTAAAATGTGACTACATTAAAGCTTTACGATTTTATTTTGATTATCTTTTTGAAAAAAAAAACACAGCGTGTAACCGACGTCACATTATAGTTTCATCAACTCGAAAACACCTACTTTTGCCCCAAGATATAAATTAAACATGACCTTTTACGTAACACATAACTAGGCCTGCAGTTTTCTTAGAACTAGGTTTACCTGCTACGTGAACCCGCCAACGGAAATCAGTGTAAAAAGCGTATTAGCCTCGTGAATGTTTTTCTGTTCATAAAAAACTCACATTGGGCAAAGGCTAGTTTGAACTGATGCAGAATGTACGAGAAACTTAGACGTTAGTTCTGTGCTAGGTATTATTTTGTAGTGCAATAGCAGCGACTAAAGGGAACACTTTTTTGCAGCAATTTTTTGAACACCTATGTACTGTAAATCACCGCTCGTTAGTACTTACACACTTGAAATAAAGTTCCGAATTATCAGATTGCTAGCGAGACCTTCTGACACCTTGTGCCTGGTTGGCAGGTTTAATTGACCTAACGCACCGCGGGCATAATGGTTTATTATCGGTATCAGTTGGTTTTGTATTGATATCACACTAACGGACCTTTTTAAAGGGCGGTATCCTGCATATACGAAATCAATTTGTATTATGCGTGGTGTTCGTCGGTGTTTAAATACGGCTTAACGCACTACAGTAACAGATCAATTTGGTAAATGCATAGATTGATTTGATTACCTTAAAAATAACCGGTCATAAATATACGCAGTGGTGAATAATAATTTTTTGGTGTCACTCTGTATAAACGCTGACACAAAAATGGCATCTTCTGAAAATGGTCATGAACGGCAAAGAACGAATCCAAATCCGAGGTTCGCAAACAACTGAAATCACCATTGCGGATCAAGGTAGCAATCTTTTTAACCTTTTGGCAAACTGTATAGAAATTCTTGATGAAATTTATATCGTAAATCGTTTGTTACATTCATTGAAATTTCAATCATTCACTGTGCATTAATTGCACACACACGTTATGCATGATTGAGTCACACCGAAGACATCTTCACCCTTCTGAAGACACAATATCTGCATTAATGGATTTGATATAATCGGATCAATCTGACACTCTGCTGGTCCTTCGATGTCCGGTGATTTAACGGTTAGCTTCAGCGGTATTTCGTCAAGGAGTCAGTTGCCAAGAATGTTATCCCATATGATGAGCAGTGTATTCAAACCATTTCTAAGCGGGAGCGCCAGCGCTAATATCACGCGAGAACAACGGTCAAGCGTTGCCCCTGCCGCCTATAGAAGGCCATCCAGATACTGCACTAAACAGAACAATAATTTCATAGGAAAAGTAGTGGGATTTGTTACAAGAAGATGGCAAAAAGCCTGCAACAAATACAAGCCAATTAGATACACGTGTGCTTAGTGGTCCATCAAGACCATATAAATCAACGGTCTGACACTGGCGCTTTTTTATTGCGAAACGAACGGCTGAATTCTTACTTACTGCTGTTATTTATTACCGTTCCCCGATTACCTTCCTTTAATATAGTGTTCCCCATAGGCAAGAAGCAAACAACATAGGACAACATTTTCACATATATAAGGCAATAGCAAGATAGGGCTCAATTGAGCTCATCGTGTTGGGCCTTTCGCAATTCGATGGTTCAACCATGAGACAAGCACGTAAAATGCAGGATAGTGCAAAAGTGAGTTAGAACGATCAATTTCAAGCTTCCCTCGAAGAAGAACATATAAACTTCATTATTTTGCTTTTTTTATTCATAAGTCGTCGCTTACTTGTACATGTGAATCCGTACACCCCTGTTCGAAGGAGCCGCCCCAGAGGAGAGATTTCACAGGAACGTTGTATCGTACGGTTATTCGGATAAGCATTGCGTAATAGTAATGGATACGAGTTTGTTGAGTTGGTCATTACCCCCAGACGGACACCTTGACCACTTCATGGGTTAAGTGGATGGGCGTACAGTGCCCACTTTGTTTAATTCGTTTTGTAAATGTGTTCGTGGCTGTGGCGGAAATATTTGTTATTTCTGATTTGACGACAGACTCAGAAGCATCCTACATTTATTCGTATGTTAGAATGAAAATATTAGAAAAATGTGTTTCGTGAAAGCTATAAATAGGACTTCCGATTTTTTAACTGTCATTAAAAACAGCAGTTCACGACTACAATCACATTTAATAACTTATAATAAATAATTATGCCGAAATGTGATATTTATTTAAAAAAGAGCTATCAAGTTGAAGATTAATTAATAACAAAGTCTTCATGTAAAAAGTAGTAACACGTTCCCTATGACTGTGCAGATAAGCATGGCTCACTTCCTAACATATACAGCTTTAAGCTAAGATGATCAACATTTTTATCTATTAGTTAAATACGTTCTAATAGAATGACAAGATCAGGTTAATTGTAGTATTTCTAGCATCCTGCCTGAACAGGCGTTCAGCACTACTTTTCCAAGAAGTTCACCTTATAAATTGTTCTTCTTAAGTTTATAGAACGATTCATATTTTTAAAAGTATTGTCTGACTTCTATAACCATTGCCCCTCCTCCAGAATTCAGTTCAATTAAACAACGGATTAATCATAAATTGGTATCTCTCTTTAGAGCATGCATTTAGGATAGCTGCGCTTTTCTCATAGATTTTTGTAAGTGCATGTTGATATATTGACTAGCTAATAAAAAGAACTTACGTATTAATTCTTTTTTTCTTTCCTTGATTTATATTGCTGTTTATTTAGCCCCCGATCGGCTGGTGGCTTCTGACGATTTCTGCTCTCCTAGTGAAATCTGCTTCCGGATACGCGCGTCCCGATGATGATCATGTAAGAAATGTTTTAGTCTTAAAAATCACGCCTAATGAAACACAGGACCTTCGTTAAACTCAACAAAAACATTACATAAGTTTCCTGGTAAGCATATACATAAAATTTGACGATAGAAGACATAGGAGACAGCCTTATGCGTCAGTTACCATTTTTTTTAGCTGCATCCGTTCAGTATACATCCTTGAATTTTCCATCGCAATGCGCGCCAACATTTTTTTTCTCTTATATTTAATCTATGTTTATATTTTTTACTTTAATCTGAATATATTGAATAATATTAGAACACTGTGATGGTATACTCTGGATTGAGATTAAAATAGAACACACAAATCACGCTTCCTTATTCTGGACTTCTTTGGCGGCCGCTAAACTCAATCAAAATATCATCAAACTAGGTTGACTTTTTATCTAGTCTATCAACCATAAAAGTGCAGGTATAGTATGATCATGGTCAGTGGTGATTATGTTGGTAAAAAAAAGCTTGGTAAGCATTGTGCACAAAAGTGGCCATATTGAAGTCTATGTGTGTTCTTTTGGCTAATCGAAATTTAATGCGAGAGAATAGAGCAATCGATCGTTCAATTTGTTTAGTTTGATAGATGCGTTTTTACTTTTAGTGCTAGAGCTCATTGTTAAATCGTCAAAGAGGCCATACCTCCGTATAAAATTATCAGTTTTTGATAAACAGAAAATAATTGATAATATTGTAATTATAGTGTTTTCCTACTTGCTATCTACATCCACTACAGTGGCGTAGCAGGAGCCTTTCATATACTGTCATAGATGTTTAACCGCGTATCATTTTTATGAATTGTATCCATGTGTTGCCTAGATTGTCATACATCTGTGGCATTTATGTATTATTATAGTAAAAAAAAAATAAGAAATCATTGTTTGACGTGGAAGAGCTAATGATTAAACAAAATCGCAAACGTTTCAAGTGCTGGATGTATGCAAACCTTATCTGGTTCTAGCATTCTACTAGAAGATTATTGACCTTGTAAAAAAAAAAGCTGTTTTATGGAAGTAACATAGCTTTTGTGTCAAGCCGTAGAAACTCTTAACACCGATGCTCCGCTTAAATACCACTTGCTAATTTTGCAGCCTAGTCCAATTTATTCGAGGAGTCTATTTACGTATACTAGAAAATGTTAGTTTTCCTGGTAATCTTATAGAATGACTTTGTCCGAAAAACTTAATATCGGCTATTTTATTCGCACTAGGAGGATCACTTTGCTAAAGACGTGAAAAGTTATGCTGTTCCAGCCTCTCGTCTTCAGCACAATGTGGCCCCTTTTCCCGCTTCGGGCCCTCCGAGATCCTCTACCAAGCCCTCTCGTTACGCTCGTCCAGAGATATCAAACGTATGTACCTCTATACGTTAAATACGAACATCGTAGATAGATATTTTTACGAAGTGATAACTCTGGTTTTCAATTAGCTTAAGCTCAACATTTCCGAACTTGCCAAACGTGACAAATCGATGCCAATGAACGCTGATGCTCTTTGTTCTTTTCTAATTGGCACTTTTATTTTAGTTGGCCAAACTGATTCCATAGAGCAAATAACATTAAATTCGGTATCTTCATTTGCAGGATGATGATTGGGGCTTTTATGTGAAGGCAGACGATGAAGGAGGTGGAGGCGGCGATCATGGTGTTGCTCCTGCTATACCGAATGAAAGGTCTAAGCCACAAAGTCGTAGTAGCGGATGGCCATCTTCTGATTCCTCTCCAGCATCCGAAAAACACCGACTCGATCCTGTAGGCCCTGCTGCTAATGTGGGATGGAACTCTGCAAGTAAAGCTGTGAAACCTTCCTCGGGTTCCGCAGAATGGTCGCCTTTTGATGATTCGGGCCCTACTATTCTTAAGAGGCCTAGCCCTTCGTACGGACCGAATTCTGAAGCGGCTGAGCCCCAATTTAGTACAGGATGGCAACTTTCGTCTGATCGAGCGGGCAACGGTGGCGGATGGTCGCCATTGGGAAATGCTAGCTCCACCCTGCCTTCTAAGAGATCTGGACCAGCTTATGGGTTCTTCGAATCTACCAAGCCTTATAATGAAAGCGGGTCATTTTCAAAAGGAGGATCGGCAAGGCCCAGTTCTGGCTCTGAGCTTTCCTTTGGTAAAGGAGTTAGTGAATGGTTACCTTTTGGCGATAATACACCTACTCGTCCTTCTAATAGACCTACTACTGACTATGATCTAGCGACTGCTTCGAAACTAGCTAATGAAGGCTGGTCACCTTTATACAGTCAATCTGCGAGGCCCAGCTTCGGGCCGAGACCCTTCTCTGACGCTGGTGGTGCGTCGTGGTCGCCTTCCGGTGGAAATGAGCCTACTCGTCTTTTAAACAGACCAAGTATTGCCTACGGGCCTGCTAAACACTCAAACGGGGATTGGTCACTTTCTTCTGGCCGATCCACAAAACTAATCTTTGGTCCTGCACTGTCTAATGATGGCAGAGTAGTAGCAGGATGGTCATCATCAACCTCGCATAGGCCAAATAAACTCGGGGCAGCCTACGGACCTTCTAATCCTTTCAAACTTTCCAATGAAGGATGGTCGCTTTCGTCCGGTCAGTCAGGCAAGCCCAGTTTTGTGCAAGGGCTTTCTTTTGCAGGTAGTCATGCATCGTGGTCACCTTCTGAAAAAAATTTTCCCACACCACCTCCAAACAAAGCAAGTGCTGCTTATGGCCGAGCTCCAGCTTCAAAATCAGCTAATGGAGGCTGGCTGCCTTTGTCAGACTCTGCAAAACTTAATTTCGGGCTTAAACCTGCTTCTGCAGCTGGTGGTGTACTGTGGTCACCTTTTGGAAGAAACCTTCGCACACATCCATTAAACAGACCAGGTGCTACCTATGGTCCCGCTTTAATAGCATCCAATGGAGGTTGGTCGCCTTCGTTGGGTCAATTCGTGGAATCCAACTTCAGTCCAGGGCCTTCACCTGGCGAACATGCTGAAAGATGGTTATCTTCAGGTGAAGTAGTACCAACTCATACACCGAAACGACCTGGTCCTGCTTATGGACTCTCGGGCAAACAGGCTCTAGCTAATGGAGAAGGTTGGTCCCCGTCGACCGGGGGATCCAACAAATCGAACGTTGGACTCGGGCTTTCTGCTGGCGCGGAAGCTAGAAAATGGCCACCTTCAGAAAGTTCCAACGTTACGATACTTCCTAAGAGACCAAAACCTTCGTATGGAGTCGCCACAGTATCTGCATCTATAAATGTTAGACGAAGCACTGAAGGCTGGCTGTCTTCTGGAACTTCTACAGTAGGACCAGACCCTGGCTTTAGCCCACCCGGTATTGGGAATTCAGTAAGATGGTTTCCGTCGGAGGGTGCAAGACCCACTCTGTTACCTGGAAGGCTTGGAGTTGTCCATGGACCTGTTAAGCCGCTTGCTGATGGCTGATGGCTGATGGCGAATGGTCACCATCTGGTAATAGAACGCCAAAATCTAGCTTCAACCAAGGCCCTGCTGGTGCAGCAGATGAATGGAGGTCTCCTGCTGGAGGAGCTCAGACTACAAGACCGCACACTACTTATAGACCTGGAAGCCATGGAAGTGTGAAAGGCTACGGAGATCGCGAAGGACGCAGAGGTCAAGACGGCTATAGTAGTCGAGATGGTCATAGAGGTCAGAAAGACTATGGTGGTCAAAATAATCATGGCGGTCGGGGAAACCTTACAGGTCAAGGTGGTCACGGAAATAAGGAGGGCCATGGAGGTAAAGGTGGAACCGAAAGCGCAATGCTGTATGAGTTTCGCTACAATGTCTTGATAAGGGCAATATCTACCGGGACGAAAGGAGACCAAACCGGGAGGGTGACTGCTATTCATACAATACGAACCAATGATGGCATCGACAGGAAAGTGAGCAATCGTGCTATTGATATTATTTTTCCTTTATTTACGCATAGGGATGTAATAATTACTATGTTTCGCTAATAGCTTGGAATGAATTCGCTTATTAGTTCAAATTAAGGATTGAGGTGAAATACATGGCCGACTAATAGGGTTTCCACGCTGAAATAGACATAAACGGGCTGGAAACGACAACCCGCCTGATGTTATAATCCATCCGAGCGCTCCTCTAACTCGTCATGATCTGCCACCTGCTACTGAGCAAACCAACAGGTCTGCAGTGCCTTCATTTGCTGCCGGTTAGAAAGATCAGGCTGGCATTTGAAGATTCCAATAACAGAGGAAGCAGCGACGGTAGCAGAAGTGCTTATGCCGATCCTAATTCCGACGTGGGCGGAGAATAAAAAGAATAGATCTAGTCGACAGAACCAACTTATTTTTGAAAAGAATTGCCATAGGATGTTCAAAACATAATGTTCTGTGTAGCTATAACGAGTGAACTAACAAGAAGATCACTTTAGAGCAGTTCTTTTTTTAGACCATACTGTCACTGTAAATGGCGTTGTGCTGAGAGTTATTCCACCGAAGGATAGTTGGACGTGTGATGTTTAATGCGTAGTTTATTCTGTTGTGTTGGTAATGCCTATTTCATTGGATCATATACATTTATGAGAGCAGTAAGGAATAGGACAGACACATTTATATACATATATATATATATATATATATCATATATAAATAGAGCTTGTTTATTAATACATAAACAAGGATGAACGTTGTTTATTTATTTAGTTGTTTGTTTATTATATTACAAAGTTCAACTGTAAGACGCAATGTTAAATTATGACTTTGCAAATAGGCACACTTAGGTCGGCCTATGAATAGAAAATTATTATATAATGCAATGATGAACTAAAGATGTTTTCTCTACTGTGCGATCCTTGTCATGTTTTTTATGCATCCTGTTGGAGATATTGCCCAATGTCGGTCTACCTCTAGTGCGTGTTTACGATTACCAGTTAGTTACGTAAGAATGCACGTTAATAATATTTTCGTACATAGCCGCAGCGGTCTTAAGTCCTTGTCGCCTCAATGCTGAGTCCTTTAGCGCAAAAACTTTATATATTATTAAAACTAGTTTTAATATAAATTTCATCACATCAGAGGACTCCAGCGTAATTATCTGCATTGTAAGAATTGCTATTTATATCTGACAAACAAAGCAAAAGGCTTCAAGCAGAGTAGTTTTAATACGCTATTTCTAATTCTAGGTACCTTGAGGTTGAGATTCTGAGTCGCTATTCTATCTAGTCTTCTATTCCTCAAAAGTCTAATAAATATTAGCACGGTTGACTGGTCCGTAGAAAATGGATTATGGGTAACTTTACTACTGGAGAAGGCTCAGCCTGTCACAGTGCCAGAATCCGTGTCTCGGCTTGTGACTAACTATTACCATTAGCCAAGTATTATCAAAGGCAACATACAAACACACTGTTTTTCCTATCATCAATCTATTGTGTGATAAAACTCGTAATATCACTGCGTGTTGTGACAGGACGTCCGCCGTTTTGTATTGATTTTTGAATTCTGTTGGACTTTTGAGAGTTTCTGCCTACTCGTTGTTTAGTATACGTACAGCTGCAATCGTTGGTTTTCGACGAAAGTCAATTCCTTTTTTCTAACCACTAAAGAAAAGAAAATAGTTTCCTCAGAAATGTCGGCTCGAGCTGCCCCAATCCATTGTTTTAGCCCTGAATAGGTCCTATCAGTTTTTTGGCCAATTGAATGAAAGGATGTCCCTAGAGCCACCCAGAATCTATTTGACAGAGGCTACCGGCTGCTTTTGCTTATCTTATATATAAGATATTCAGCTTAAACCTCATATAGAGGCAAGTATTTATCGAATCTCGATATTTTTTGACATATGTTCGGAATCAGGAGCAGATCGATTATAGCTCTTTATAAAAAAAAACCTGAGGAGTTCATAATCACACACAATAGCTGCAAAGTGTGAAAAAGCAACTGTTTTTATTTATCAATTTAGTTGATTACTGAAGGACCCGTAACCGACCTATAAAAGTCGGCTACGCTTGACTATGCAGTTTTTCGATACTCCTGCCCCAATTTGAGACACTGGCAATTGTTTAGCGTTACGTTTTGAAAATGTCTTCCGACCTCGGCACAGTAAAAAAAAAAACTGTAAAAATTGTCGGGACTATAAAAAAACGGGATTCTAATAAACTCATGCGACAATGCTGAAGGTAACATTAATGAGGTCTGATGCTTACCAAATGGTACTTAGGTGTTCTGAGCAACGAGCTTATCTCAGATCTACGTCATAGTCCTACTTTGACCATTTTTTACGGCAAATATCGAAAGACTGGGAAATTTTCAAGTAAATAAGCTTTTTTTTTTATAACGTAACGCAATAGATGGAAGTGTTGTTTGATTTTTCTAGAGCAAAGGCTGAATGTTGTACGTAATGACGCTTTTAATTTTTAAAAAAGGGTAACTAATGCGATTTGAATTGCTTAGTAAAATTGTAAATAACTTTTCTAACTATGCTAATGCCATTACACAATTGTTTTTTCTTATTCTTAGATGCTTTACCATACTGTTAACTCTAGGTAACGATCGGCAACCAGGTGCTAATCTTGTACGACACTTGTTTCTGTATTCTAGCAGTCAACCCGCCCATACCTTCTGTCGTACTACAATTTGTTCTGTTCTCTTCAGTTCTGAGCTATTGACCTGCATTAACCTTTCGCACTCATGCCATGGTCCATATCTTCTCGTTTTTCTCTTGTCTGAAACATGGCTTCCATCGCATATCATGATTTAAGTGGTACAATTCCGATACGCAGTAATGCTGGCAAGTTACATTCCATAAAGCCAGTCAGTCGTCCACCCTTAGGATCTTCGAATTAGTGTTTGCTAGGTTACAACTGCAAGTCTCTTCCCATAGATAGTCAACATATGGTTCAGCAAGGCCTACTAGTCAGAAAAAAATCCTGCCGTTGGCCGTAACCTGATTAAGGATTCCATGAGGGTAAAATCGAGCTTCACTCCGATGGCAGAGGCAACAACAAGAGTGCCACAGGTAAGCCCAGCCGTTACACGTGGGCAGCGCCCACCTGAGACTCGGGAAATTTTCCTAGTTGGACGGAGACTGATACTACGTTCATGGTTTTGCTTTAGCTTTCGATGTTTGCTGGATGGTTAGCGTGAAAAAGAAATAACGAACAGTAGCACACCCAATGCTGAAACTTACACACAGAGATGGTACAGATTGAGCTGAACTAAGCCTTTCTCGCATTCTTTGAAATGAATCACGTTGGTTTCGGGCACTGTCGAGGTAAGGTTACGTAAGCGACATCTGTCCATGAACGGCAGAAAACATGATGAGCCAAAGAATGTATCTACTAAAGTTGCCTGCTATAATTATGATTGAAGTTCCTAGCCAAGAGCGTTAAGTAAATGTCAAACTATTTAGGGAACTGATCATCCCATGTTATACTCAAGTATTTGTCCTTTTTTCAAAAAATCGATGTAGCATAGCAGAATGCTGTCCGTATGAGCAAACGTATATCCAGTTCGTTGTTGGGTGCGCGACATTTACATTTTGAAGGTTGAGTAATGCTACTGTGCAAGGTGGTTACAAAGTAGTGAAATTCTCCGGATTAACCGATACCTCTTAAATCAGCTTGAATTTTAAACAGTACACTTCTGCACTCTGATGGGCATACCGTATACGATATTATGTCGTTCAATAAAGGTTTTCATTATCCACTTTGCCGAGAAGAAGAGATTTAAGGATCCGCGAACCCACTGCCTAGCACCCAGGTGCCTTTATTAACACTACAGCGCGGGACGATAACCTCGATAGCTACATATCTGAAAAATATAATCTTAAAAGCGCTTTTACCTTAAAATCTCTATGTGATATTATGTAATAGATATATGTATATGTATGTAATAGATATATGTATATGTATGTAATAGATATATGTATATGTATGTAATAGATATATGTATATGTAATTTCATTCCGGTACTAATGAAAAAAGCACAGAAAAACAGAGCGTAATGCTGATCAAAGTTGGAAACGGATGCATGAAAGCTAATTTAGAAGAAGCAACAGAGCGCACCATTTCCACGAAATCGATGGAATATTGAACTTAATACGTACGATGAGTTTTTCACTAGAGAACACCCGATGAAACAATTGAAATATTGTAGGAAATGTATACAAGCTAGCCCTACATCTTCCGTGACTAGATATTTTAGCCTATCACAATAATACATTTCTCACCAAAAATGAATCGATTTATAGATGAAAGAAACCTTTCGACCTGAAACAAGACATACTTTCCAGTAGTAAAATAATGGACAGATCGAGGCACGCGAGATATACTTCGTTGGCTCGTCGCTAAAACCTGCAACAGATTTCCCGCCTATTCCGCACTCTCGAGCTCCCTACCTTATCAAAGTCCTTATAGTTAGCTAAATCGAATCAGCGTCATGCCCAGTTTTCGAAAGTCGTTTGCAGCCCATCAGTTTTTCCGCTAAACAAAGGGTCGTAATATGTAATTTTTGCTTCCTACGCGACGACCGCTGCGATATCTTTCTCACGCTATCACTGATCGCAGTAATGTCGTCTACATGTGCCCGCTAAACTGCAGTTAGCGTCAATCTATTTCAACATTATAAGCAGAAGTTTGCTCAGTGTTCGCTTGCGACAGATCGGAAATTTCTTTGCCGTAAGAGCTTTCATCGCTTAATCGACAGCACCAACATCGGATTCCATCTGGCTCAGGAAAAATTGCAAAAGATAAGAATTTTTAAAATGGTATAAACTTTACCATCTGGGAATATCAGTTGACTGGTGTTGATCTGACTCTGGAAGAAGCTGTGACTAGACTAGTTAGGCCGTTTCCATAGGGTTAGGGCAACGAAAAAATTGCTTTATAAGAAGTTTCACTTCGTGATGTCGACGACAGCTTGCGACATATGGTGGACAGATATTTTTGTGCAAAGTATACTGTTTTTAGAATCAATTTATCATCCAAGAAGTTCTCTTTAGATGCTTTAAGAGTCACTCTAAACTGCAGCCTTCTCCTAAAAAGGAATCGCGTTTGATGATTTTATCAGGTGGCTGTACAGGGTAGCAAAATAGTGGAACATATTTTTGCTGATTCGGAAGGGAGACCTTGCATCTGAACTGTGTTCGCTATTTTCTGAATAGATCAATCAGATGCGAGGCATAAGCTTGGCAGAATATTATTAACTTATTTTGATGACGTTATCAGTAGCAGTTTAGTAGCTTTACTTTACGTTACTTCGATAAGTTACAAGTCTGTAATCAGGCTGAAGCATTTTACATAAGTTCTTAGGCATTTATTTCAATCGGAATGGTCATAAGGTAGCCCGTTTTAGGAACTACTAAACGAATTGATCGATCTCTTAGGCTATATATTTCGGTCTACATATTAAGGTCCCAGAAACGGGTCAGATTGATATGCTAGACGTTGTCCGTGGTTACAGCATGTTATTATTGTGTTATTATTATCTGTGTGCGATGACCCGTTTGTGAAGTAGATAAAATCAATTTATTTTCTCAATTACTATCCGAGAATGACAGAAACAATGAACTCTAGGTTGTTTTTTTTTGTTTTCTACACGGATTTGATACATATCGTTTGGTTTAATAGCTCTTCGTATTCGATGACTAACGAATAGGCTGACCGAAATGGCTCGGCTTCAGCGAACTATACCTAAAGAAATAATTGGTGGTAAATTTTAAAACGGCAAAGCACACACGATTGTTTTTATTGCGATTTCCAAAATAAACATTTGTAGCGCAGGAAGAACACAGAATCGACTCTCAGAATGGAGGGATAATTGTTCAGCGTCACAGGGACTTTTTGCAGGACAATAGGTTATGGTTTCAAATAAGATGCCAATACAATTAGTCAAGACGGGTCAAAGTTACTATGTGAAAAATTTAAGGATTTTTTTTTTGCCAAGCAGCATTTTTAGATATACTTATCTTAAAGTCATTTCGGTTTACTGATGAGTCAGATAAGGATTTCGAAGAAACCGTCTAATCATAACATGGATGGTGCGTCTCTTACTAATACAAACATCCAACTCTCTCTGGCGCATAATCTTAAAAAAATGCCAAAAATGCCAAAAATGCCCCAAAAAGGTCAGGGCTACCTTGCCTCGCTTAATGTATGATTTATAATTATCTAATTTACAACGCTAATATTAGGTTGAGTGTTTTGAAGAAGAAATTTGAGAAAGACATTTAGAGGCAGATATATGTATATAGTCAATATTAAAAAAAAATTCGTAGTTCCTAGATTAACCCTCTGAAGATTTTTGCAGAAAAGACATTTCACCCAGGGAGTGAAAAGGACTCAAGATACTGTAACACCCGTGTGCTTGTTCCCGATTTGCCTGTTCATCCGTTTGAGGAGAATATCATGCGATAAGCTAAGCACACGAGCAATACAACAAACTGTATTTATTAAATAGAATCAAAATGCGTCTGCGAAATTTTCCATTGAAGCTTTATAATATCTCTACCACGAAGTGAGACTCTGCTTTCTAATACAGCTAATTTTATCTTAAAGTTGTCGAGGATTCCTTTTCGCAGGTACCCAAAGGATCCGATGACTAGCTGGCATATAACAAACAAAAGTTCATTAACGGCTGAGGCCCATCCTGTTGCGGGCGCAAATTCGCCAGAAATCCTGTGTCCTTTTTGGTTTTTTTTTTATCGTTATTCAATTGTGCAAACTCCTTCGCTTATCACTTGTCATTTGTCACTTTTTAAACAAGTCGCGAGATTGGAGACCTTTAGCTTCGTGCGTAAGGGTGCTCAGAGCTTTCTAGTATCTACTTTTATCGGATAACTAGATAACTGTTCGATCCGCATCATGCGATGCGTGAAGTAGAGACGGGGCGAATGGCATCGACCGTGCCCGAAACTTGGATGGGTGTTTTGCGCTCACTGAGAGACGCTTACGCGTACACCAACGTTTCGCGCGTGCATTCGTGCATTGTTGTAGGTGCGCGACGAACGCTGGCAGAAATATCACAAACCTACTAATAAGCTTGTGCATGTTAAGGTTGAGCAATGGCGGACGCTATAGCGCGAACAAGCTCACATATCTATGCTGTGCGTGCGGAAAAGTCTTTCTTTTATACATCACCTAACACAGATAACTACTAACTGGATACTCACGTAACTCATTTGTAACAAGAACAAAACTAGATACGCACCCCTCAGGGCAAAAGCAACAGCTCGAAAATTCGACGAGGACATAACGAGGGAAATAACGCGCCGCAATAAGTGTTTCGAAAATAAGGTCCTCGCAAACGGGAGAACGCTGGCGGGCATTACGTTGCGGAAAATATAAGTCAATAATACGGTTTCAAGTAGATGTATAAATTTGTGAAAGGAACGACACTGTAATCGTACAAGCAGGTCTGTGCCACATACGGCACCTTTGCCTTTTCGTACGTGGAATGTTGAATAGAAGCCAAATAGCTGAAAAGTATTATTAAGGGTAGAAAAATGTAGAGGAATGTTTAGCCTAATGGGGTAAGTGACATGAAAGTCTCAGAGAAAGTGAAACAGAAAAAAACTGCAGCAAGAGCCGAAACAGTTTTGCTGCTCGGAAGGATTCGTTGAAGGAGCTACGCTCGCAGAAGTATGGTGCTGCTCAAATAAATAGAATCAATATACTGCTTGCATATCGAGCAAACTAATTCGTTTTATTGACAGATGTGCCAGTTTATAACTGTGCCTCAGTCGTTTCTACTGATTGAGTAACTTTTTTTTATCTGAACTTTATGCAAATATGTAGATAGGCCAAATAAGCATTGCTCAACTTCAGTGTAGACCTAGTTTGTTCTAATAACCCAGTGTTCTGATCGAAAAACACTGACAAACCTATACCTACTTTATGTTTGAATCAAGCTATCGGATGGCAGAAAAAGTTCTGATATTACTAAACAGAGCTGCCGTAGCAAAAGATGCTAGCTGAGTCTTTGCTTCAACTTCACTAAAAGTCGCCGAAGTCTACCGGGTCGGCAAAATCCGCTGTTTTCAATGATGGAAACAGTCCAAAGGTAGAATCCGTTCCAGTGGTCAGCGGCAACGCCCAGCAGATCACCCTTCCTGAATACAATTTTACCTCTGAAGGCGTTTGCCTTCGAGTGGTCGACCTCGGCCACAACATTGTGATCCTTTGGCCACCATAATAGAAGATGTCATCCAGACATCGAAACCTAGAGAATGGTTTCGCTGACTGGATGAAAAAACTTGTCTAGTTTGTAAAGCTTGAAACAAATCTCTTAATGCGTACTCTTCGTTATTTACATCTATTAAGTATATATGTAAGGTGCCGCGTGATCGAAAACTACATCGAGCTAGCATCGTTCTTCTTTATGTTGTTTCCTAAATCTATCCAGATGAAAACATATCTGATAAGAAAATTGTCCACATGCGTTGAAGATACCATCACCGGCGGTCAGGTTTACTCGGCATAACGGCTACTCAACGCGATTTAACTACGCTTAAATGTGATGCATACGAGAAGTTCCAGTGGGATTAAGTTAGCAGACATCCAGGAGCTGACCCAACTGAAAACTGATGTTCTCTCTTAAACGGCTGTCTGTTTCTAAACAAAATATTCAATAATCTTAAGCTGGATTCAATTAAAGTGAGTTTATTTTACTTTGCTATTTACAAAGGACAGACTTTTGTCTAACGCTAAAAGTGATTGATGGATGGATGGATGAATGAATGACCCCGCCAAATCTCGTCCTCAACTAGGAGTTGGATTCGCAAAGTTCACGTAAAATGGAAATTGCTGGATTGTTATGTGGAACTTTCAGGACCAGGTGGAATTCCCACCTGCCCACTTCTCAGTGCGTCAATGAGTGCACCACTATCATCTTAAATTATCTTTGAATGGTAATGTTCTGTTGTTTGATAAGTCTGAAAAACGAAAGTCCATGTAGCCTTGAACGTTCCTATTGACCTAACAGGCTACTGTAATCGTACAGCCGCAGTACCAACCTTTCTGACATTTTGTCAGTTTCAGATCGCTTTCCTTAAAAATTTAAATCGTTCACGCAGCTGAGTATAACAATTTATAGCTAATTATAGTATATATGTCGCAACGGCGATCGTGCCAGACTAAAAATATTACAATTGTAAAGGGCTGAATGTTGTTGAACCAGTATTTATTATCGTCTATTATCTCTATTTAATAGAATTGCAACACGCCAATTGAAAAAGAGGCTTCCAATTTTTCATTTAGGTCAGTAGGTCTGAAATAACAACGCCGTCGAATACAACTATTACTACCGGTCTGAGCAGAGGTAGGTTTATGGTCGCGACTGTGAGCTCGCCCTGTGTGGCTCTATGATAGATTAAACGACGAGTTTCGGATAAACAGATATGAAAAACAGCTGAAAATTATCACATTACCAACTATATTTTTCGATTTAAAGTTGATGTATGTAACTGTCAAATTTGTGGCTTCTCGATTCAAGTATAAGGGTAAGCGTATATATCTTCAGGCTGCCACTCTAACTTTCTCAAGTTAGAAACAATGGTAAATTCAGAGAATTTTCTGTATCAATAATGAACTTCTGCTCTTTAAAACATCCGCCCAAAACCGCTTCAGTTGGGTACAGAACATCACTTTATATACTGAATAAAACAGTTATCTGGTTCGTCTATTTCTTTGTTTTCACGCTATTTTCTAAGATAAGTGCGCGCTCTAACCATATTCATTTAAAAGGTTAAAAATGTTAACTTCTCCGATGCCGAGTTCAAGCGACTACTCAAAATAGACGCTATAACTTGAAATAAGCACCACCAGCCTACCTTCTACAATGGCTCCGGCCAGCGCCATCGTGTCACATCGAGCGCCTTACAATGTTTGAATCGCTCCGAAACATCTGAGCTAGTAACTAATTTCAAACAGAAAATACGATCTCTAGCACACACTGCATGTGCGTTCTGCACACTTAGCATCACGTGACACCGTCGCTGCGGTCGTTTACTTTGCCATCACACTACATACATGTACATGATCTGTGGCCATTTCTTTTTTAAATCAACACGATTTCAAAAGTCATTGTCTAGCGAATGATCGCGGCATATTTGTACCTAAGAACGCTTGTGGTTTGAATTAACATCTCAGTTTGCAGTCTTAATTTAATCGCTAACACAGCAAAAGCCTAGACGGATCTCCGTTGTAAGTAATGCCCGATGCTTTTAGAGCCGCACAGTTGTATGATACTTGGTTTGCCAATCGGTCAGCCGCACCTTTAAGAGCGAACTGATCAGATTATAGAATCTAGCTGATGTATGACCGAACGAAGTCTCTTGTTTCTCACGTCTATACATTTTTTGCCAACTCGACGTCGTTATTGTCGCCGGTATGATGACAACTCGGCTAGCAGAACCGGCTGAAATTTGACGTGAACGCAGGTCGTGCACGGTTGAACGTACGCGGCTTCTGTTGGACAACCATCTATCCGTTGTGGGACGCAGTCGTGACACGTGCAAGTGTTCAGGATAGGGACCCACTGAGATCGCGTGCCAACGAACGTCTGGCTGTGTGTATTTGTTTATTTCGAAAAGCTATTGCCGCTCTAGTGTGTATTTGCAACTTTGACCCGTTTCTGTGTATGCAACCAGTCTTTAAACTTTCACTTAGACAATAGCCGTTAGGGAATCGCTGGCACCGAATCTAGTTTGTGAAGCGTTTTCGTGGTAGGCCTCAGTGCCAGCAAAGGCATAAGGCCATCTGCTGCACTAAGACGACATGGCCAAGAATAAGAAAGGTAAGAACAACAACAAGACCAACAAACAAGCCCGAAACAGTGGTAAAGCTCCGTCGCCATCGATGGGGTCGACTTCGGCGTTGCCCACTTTTACGGATCCAGTCTTAAAGATGGCTTCTTTAGACAATAGCGCGTCGGGTGGTGTGGATTGTGGTGTCGAGCAGAAATCATCAGTTATATATGTAAACCAACAGCGGGCGCTGTCGTGGAAAGGGATATCAAAAGACGAGATTCCAAGCAAATCCGGAAACCAGTCGGAACTCGATTCTGGCCGAGAGTCACCTAGAGATAATGGGGCAGATATTGAAAAAGGTCAGTTTTTCTTGGCATTTAGAGTACATTAGATGCTAGAATATTCAATGCAATACTGGTTTTAGAAAAGTATTGAAGCAGCGTCTACGGTGAACTTGGAACTCTCGTAGACTACCATTTAGAATCCACACAGGCTATAATGCGGTGATGATCGCAATTGCTTTTCCTCCTAGAGCTGCACTCCCATCTCTATTTTTACGTACGAATATGTACTGGTGTTATATCAGACGGCTGATTCCTGCCGGTTGTAGCTAATATAAAATTCGGACATAAGAATCACATCCATATTTTAGCTCGGATCTGAAGCTGCAAAAATTTAAGTGGCTGGTTCATTTCGTTCGCACTAGTATCACTAAAATCATTATTTAGTTCAGTGAAGAATTATCAACGTTTTAGGCGCTAGTTTAGTCGTCGGTCGTGAGGCAGCGGCTTTTGGAATCCATTAAAATAATAAATTGGCCTTATGACGGATTACATAAATGAAGCTTCTCAGCGAAGTTTCAAACTCCAGAGTGAATATATGGCTGTATGTTTGACATAGTCATAACTTCAAATTAGTACATGCCTATAAATACTAATATAAAGTCATAATCATACAAGACGTAAAGCCAAATGAGCTTTAAAAGTTTTTACGTTCTACCTATTTAGGGCGGTGATTAAAGATTTCCCTTTAAATCCAAATATTGTGTTTCACAAAATGGAGTCACACAATTGAGGTCTAGATTAGATCTGGGTGCTCAGCAATTTTAAATACGATAGTTGTGGACAACCTAGTTGCTGCAATCACATGGAAATTATGTGAAAGGTAATGCTAAGTAAGGCAATTTTCCGTGAGTCTTTTGCACTACCTAAGTGTAAGTACAATTATCAACGATCGGAAGTTGTGATCAGAAAACGCTTTGAGTCTGGTTTATATTTCGGAGGTAATTATGAAAATGTTCTATATTATATTATCCAGTGTCGAAATCATGCATGTAACATATATGCCATCAAACCCCTGGCACCTCTATATGTCCGGTTTACTAGGAAGTGTATAAAACAATTACATAGACTAAAAATATTAATAGTTCATCAAAGCAATCGATGTTGACTCATACAGGTTGCAGGATCTTTATATCTTTCACGAATCCACGCTGACATCAGCGCCAACGCTATTTTGGCGCTGATGTCAGCGTTATCTACCACGAAAACTAACGTTGCAACGCACGGAACTAGAACGAAACATGCGTCACCAGTTGAATTATACGATAAGTACCAGCGATTATTGAAATTTCGCAATGCTATTGATTGATGCTTAAGTATCAATTATTAATTTAAAAGTAGAATTGACTGTAAACATTCATATTAGCCGAGCATCAAAATTTGCTCTAATCCTAAATGCTGCTTCTTGCCGCGTGCTGATTAACTCGTAGATAAAAGTACGATACAAATGAACACGACGTGCGTTGACAAATGTATTATTTGCATAGTTTCAGTGAGAGTGGGTACGGAAGTTGAGTCCACCAACCACTCAACAAATGTATATATAACGCCCGATTCAGATGAGGGGAAATGCAATAGACGCGACTTTATAGCCGGTAACGAAGTCAGCGACGAATTCAAAAAGCTAGAGGCGCCAAAGGCTCACAGCGATAAAGCTTTCTCGCAAAGTAAACAGGAATTTTTAACGAAGCCATTATCGCCACCCACTGACTCCAAGCCCAAAACACTGGTTAACGTGCCTAAGGAAAAGGCTCGCGATGACCAGGAGCCCGCCCTTGCAAAAGTGTTTTCTTCTGTAGTACTACCGGATCAGGGTGGTGGTCAAGTCCAGATGGACAAACGTAAAACACTTCCTTTGCCGAAACCGAGCAAGCATCCACTAGAATTCGAGTGGAGCTTTTGGTACAGTGACGTAGGTGTTATCTTTGTTCAACGTCTTTCTATTTTTTTTATCGTGTTTTTTTTTTGTTAACTTTTTATAATCGGTTTATTTTCATTGTATGAAAATTATTACATGCATGTTTTGAATGAGTCCAAGACAAACAAACCTGTGGCGTCTGTAGATACAACGGCGTTTGGTACTATTTTGTCTAGCCTGATTTATACTACGTGAAAGTACATGGTTTTTCAATTTTTATGTAATATAATAATAATGATAAACCACTGTAACAATAATGCATCACTTTGCATTTGTTTCTTTCTACCAAATCTGATTTGCAACAAACGATCGTTTGACCCTTTGACAGTTTTCAACTGAAACAAGAACTATTATTCACTTGAACGAAAATGCTAGAAACTTTTCCAAAAGTCAGCTCTTCTACACAATTTATTGACGAAATATCAGTGAGTCTACTACCTACTATACACCTTTTTTACTACAGCTACACACGTTTCTTGAAGAGCCTAGCACCTGCAACGCTCTAAGCCTCTGTTGCCGTTTTGTATTCAACAGCCATGGCAACCGTGGGACGTTGCCTTAGTTCACGTGAAGGACTTCGCTTATATCGAGGACTTTTGGTCGCTCTTCAACAACCTTAAACCGCCCACAGAAGTCAACTTAAGCTATTACCTATTCAAAAAAGGCATTCGTCCAGAGTGGGAAGACGAAATTAACGAACTGGTTCGTAAATCTTCATCGGTTGTGCTACGACATCTCTTCAATTTTCTGGCATGAATTAAGTATTACTACTAAAGATTTGAGGGTATCCTAAGTATTAAGGGTAAGTAAGAGACTAGTTAACGAAGAAAACACCATGAAAGGGCCGGTCATTAATGTGGTTAATTCATGAATTAATGGAAACAAAAAATAATTCGCTCCCCTCACAATTGACCCTTCCGTTCGGTGCTATTCAGCAGTTGATAATTGACTGCCCTTTGAATTGTGAGGTTTACACGTTTGCTTCCCTTACGTTTAGCCCTAAAGTAGCCAATACACCGATACAGCCTTTTACCCAATCGCGTCGACGATACAAGTGGTTTACGTTGCTTCTCATTATCTATTACAATCTGCTTTCTCTGAGAAACCTATTTACCGTGTTTCAGGGTGGTAAATGGTGTTTGGCAAATGGTGACTTTAGTCCTGACCAGGTTTGGCAAGAACTTGTGCTACTGTTCATCGGCGGTGCTGCTCTGGACGAGCTGTCATCGCACATTAATGGAATATACTTTGCTCGTAAAAAGAATTACACCACTCAAATTACAGTTTGGCTTGATACGACAGAACTCCATATTATAAACCGAATCGGAGATATCATAAGGACCACACTTCAGACCTACCTCAAGGTCGATATACCCATGGAATTCTGTAAACACAGCACATCCTCACTAGGATTAAAGAAAAAGCCTTACAGGCAATCAGGTCATCTGCATTCTTCACGAATTCCGCCCTAGATCGCTCATATTGCTTCGAGACACTTTTTGTAGTCCGACGAGATTGCCGCAGGCCCACATATATTTAATTCATCCAAGCAGCTGCTGAGTAAATGTCAATGAATTCGAAAAAATCGCTCTGACGACAATATGCTTGTTATACATAAGCTGTAAGAAGCTATATAAGAAGCAAGTTCGTCGTAATTATAAAATGAACTATTATACCTAGGGCAGTGCAAGCCTTCAAGCTTTTACCGTAAAAATATCTCGAGTTAATTAGAAGTAGATTGTATTTATTGGTGCCCGTTATAACCTATGGACATCTAGGATAATGTGAAAACGTATTTAAATATAGTGTGTGTTTGCCACAGTACAAGTTGATTTTTTAGTCGTGTTAAAGCCATTGACTCGTGGTATAATTGCATTGATCTTTATTTGAGGAAAAAGGAGATCACTGCATCATATTGGGCGTAGTATTGGCGTACCGCAGGACTTTATGCAGAACTGTAATTGTAGATTAAATTACTAGCGTAAACTGTGAGCATTACTTCTTTCCCCCATCAGAATGGAGGCATAGTCAATTTTTTCTCTGCAAACTTCGTATTTGTTAAGACGACATCGTACTCAGCCAACAAAAGCAATTTATTTCCATCGTGAATTGTATTGTACACTACTCGTACAATCATTACTTTTTTACTTTGTACCCCATATAATTAGCAGAGCGACCGTTGTGCATCATTGACCGCCATTGCAATGAGAAACACTCTGAGCTGACATTGTGAGCAGGAGTTTGTTGACTGCTAGATGCTCCCCACGGCCAATTACTTTTGCGAGACGAATTCGTTGTGCCGGTGACTTTGACATATATTAGATAGATGCATGTTTATAGAACAAAATTCAACATAGTCGAAGAAAGTGTTACACCAAAATAGATAACGTTGAGCTTTACGGAAGCAACCGAACTGTTTACGTCTTTAACCTGCCAACTTTGCGTTACCTTAACAAATTTACAACAATTAGCAAAATTGTTATTAAGTTGAAGTTGATTAGCGGCCACAACGATGAACAGGCGAGCGACATGCACAAATATGGTGAACATTTGTGTACTGATATTTTCGTTTACCTATTTCGTTATATTATAGAGTTACTACCATAGTTTTAGCTAGACGACACAACTGTTTGCATTTTTTTTATGATATACACGCTTTTAAGGTTCACGGGTATCGGTCAACGCGTGTTGTACGATATTGTAACTGTGGTGTGAGTTTTGTTCAAAAACAAACTACCGTTAATTAATGAACAATAATAAAGGAAATTACTTATTTCGATGATATGCATGTAGTTGACCATCGTTATTATTGGGCATTATTACTCGTTATAACAAGTAGCTTTTTCTGGGTATGTCATTTCGCTTAACTAGACACAATGGCGAGCCATAAGTGTACCGGTGTAGCACTATCTAAGGACCTTTTGAAGCAATTGCATGTTTACGTTCCTTACTTGACTTCATCTTGTTTACGCCGCTATGGAATTCTCGAAGTGTTTTAAGCACAGATCTTTCCGTTAAAAGTCTAACGCTTTCAGAAATCGAATCGAAAATTGATACAGTCTTGTGTCGATTATTGGTAGCATACTAAAGAACGGGTAGCTGATTGCATATACGTATAATTTGTATATAGACGTTGCCCCTACGGCGTCCTAAACGCCAATTATACTACAGATGTAGAAGAAAAAGGTAGAATAATTGATCAGATTTTATAATTATCACAATTGCAAGAGATTGCGTTTCATAATATGTACGAATGTGTAGTCCTCCTATAGGGTTTTACAAATTGACAGTACTCGAATTGAATCAGCTCGTTTGTTTCCTTATTTCTAGCTACACCCAGGTAGAATTCTGTAGTTTCGACCCAAGCAATCGCTAGCAAGAGTCAACTGGTACCGACCCAAGCTACATACATAACCTCATGAATATTTTTACAGTTAAGAAATCGGTAAAGCGCCCTAAACACGCTATCTCAAAGGTCGGTGTCGTCAGCGTTGTTTAGAACAAATACCAGTTTTCAAACCTCTTTATATGCAATACGCACCAATGTGTTTGGCAGGGCAAATGATCCCTACTTGATAAAATCGTAAATAAGTGGTTTAATTCAATTAAGTGCTTGTAACTTAAATAGACACTTAAAACATTTCAAGAATATAGAGATGAAAATCTCTCTACAAAAAAATGCTACCATGCCTGCAACATACGTGCCTTGATCAGCAGCATTTTACTCTACTCGGCACCACTCGACTCGCATTGTAGACGTGACGAACAGAGGATCATTTGTTTATTAGACATTGGTTCTGATTTGTTGGTTTTTCTTACCTTGCTAGCTAATAGATACGTCATTGAGAGATATTTGTAGTTCCCTTCAATAAAGAGGAAAAAAAATTATAACATCTGTGGTGGTGGACCCGACGAGGACGACTGGGCCTGACAGCCAGGCCGCATCCCGCAGCCTAAACGAGCTTATTGGGTGAGTAGCTTATGAAGCGAACGCCAGGCAATCCATCAACGATGACCGCACATAGGTTGGTTAAACGTTTTTGTTGTTGCACATAATAAAGTCATCTTAGAAAATTTCGGGTTTTCATGGTGAAATTTCGTTTCGCTCGACTAACCACTAGCGCAAAACGTAGAATTTATAAGTCATGCGAGATATCGAAGTTTCATAATTTGGATGTCAAAATACAACCTAGAAACGCCAGTACCTCTTAGTGATAAAAAATGATTATTCTAATGCGATTAACAACAATATGTAACTATATAAGAAAAACATAGGGTCCGCCAGGCCAGTAGCTTGTCTCTTTCAGCGTATTTGTCATGAAGAAAATTTTGTGAAGAAAATAAGTTATAGTTCAATAGGGTTAGGGTAAGAACCGATATTATGAAGACATTAATTCTTTTAACACTGCCAAACATAGTAAGTACGGTTCAGTTGAAATAGCGAACTCACAGATGCTGGATACGCTTCATAACATAGTTTCATATTGAAGCATTAGTAACGCGTGCATCTTCTGGGCATATATCGTTATAGAAAAATTGTTTTCGCTGCAAATACAACAACTCTCTAACATGCCGTGCCGCAGAGCCGCGGACGACCGCCGCGTCAGTTCTGCTGCGGCATAGCGCAGCAGTTCGATGCGGATTAGCGACGGAGCACGCGGGCTCCAAAAAGGGACGCAAACGTATTAGCTTAAAATGTCGAAACAATTTTATGCCAATTATTATAAAAACAGTGATATACTGGTGGTTTTTGTTTATAAAGCTAAATTAGTTAGTCTTGCTAAGCTCGTTCACATGAGGTTACTGTATACTGCCATAGTAGTGAGTGGTTCTCATCAACGATTACGATAGATATGCCATAGTCGGAGCGACTGAATCAAGAGGGCGCTCGGTACATGGCCAAATCAATCACGTAATCTTATTAATTTTAAAATAATTTAATGAAAATTATTAATTCAGAGGAAAAAAATCAGGAAATTACTGATTAAAGTTGCACGGAGACTCTCTTCGTCGTCCGTCACGTCACTTCGAGTCTTATTCTTTTTTCTATATGTAAGAATTGAGGCACGATACTTTTTTGCTCGTATTTAGGATAATGAATCTTTACTTTTTTTTCGTCGGTTAGGAATTTCCCCTCTATTTCTATTATGACTAAGTTTCTCAATGTCTAATTAGTCGTTAGACCTAAAATGAAGGCTAACATGCTTACTGATTTTCACGCTTATCTCTCTACTAACGACATCAACAAAGTGTAATTTTGGCATCTATCTCATAGCCTCCATTACAATAACGGTCCTCTTTCAGGTTAACTCACCGAACCGTTTCTACATACACTTCTCTATGTACTACATTCGGAAGCAATATGTTCATTCATCTCTGTGCCCGAACTCGTATGAGTTTGTATTACATGGGCTTATTAAATTTTCGGTGACCACCAAAATTTCAAAACTGGAACGTGAAAACAAGCATTTTTCAAACGGCAAAGCTTTTCTTTTGTTTCTTGTTACCTTCTTATGATTCTGTTCTCTTAAAAGTCGCATGTGGCATGAGATATCCTAGATTTCTGAGGGGCTGAATACAATTTACCCTAAACTGACTCAACTAAGTTTAAGGACAATTGCATCTCCAATCGTTTGGTCTTCAATAAAAAAGGTCGAAGACATTTGTCGCGTCCTAACGTCTGAATCAAACTGAATCATTACCGAGAGCGCGTGTTGGATGCCAAAGACATATTCTCCAACAGTTGAGCGTCAGTCGTTCTTGGAAGTAATGCCAGATACGAACGTTTAAACCAGCCTTGTCTAGGGAAATCAACAACAACCATAAATCTTCCTGTAGCTTGCAAAATTGAGGGAGCCCGGTGAGGACAAACTCGCATGATGCTCATGTTATTTGGTTTGTCAATATGAGTCTGGCTTCACTTCTTGTAAGTTCAACAAAGCTTGCAGTTCGTTTGAGTAGAGGAACGTCATTGCAAAAGCGTATCAGTGAAATCACTAGCTGTCCTTGGAGCTGTTTGGTGAGACCTCGAAGATCATTTGGGCAAACCCAGCCGAATGAAAAAAGTTCAGACTAGTTCAATGTTAAGAAGAAATCAAGTTGAGGTGCTACTTTCTTCGATGTAACAGCTACTAGGTATAACCAATTGTGTGTGCTGTCTCCATTTAAACTTCAAATGTTTGTGGGTTAGATATTGTGTAAGGTATTTATTGGAAATGCGTATTGATCAGAGTACACACCGAGCCTGGTGAGCAGTACGAATGCTCGCACAGAGCACCGTTTCACCGTTGTTCTATTTGCATGAAGAAAATTATTTTCTCTTGCTTGAAGCAGTATGAGGTCTATGTTACGAAGGTAAGGTAGAGTTCTGGCGCATACTTTCAAATAAGAATATACAATAAAATCTTGTATTTTTATTTTTCTTGGACCATCATATATGCTCCTATTTATAAAAGCATTGCAGAGGACTTGCTTCATTTTTACAACGCATCCATCACAAATTACAAAGACAAACACCAAAAAAATTAATTTAAAGGGAAAATACTAATCGAAATGCTTACACGAAAAACTATCTGCTGAATGGTAGTATGTCTAACCACGAACTTGAACTCAGCCATTTTGTTAATATGGTCCTAAAAAGATGAATAAACGTTAAAAATTATCTACTGCTACACGATAATGTTGTACGAACGTGGAGGAATCCGGGCGGTCGAAGAGCCCGTTGCCATATTGCTTTATCGAAATTCCCGTTTTGAAGCTTCTTCCACTTATTAAGTTATCCAGTTGTTCCAACAAATTCAACTCAAAGAATATGTTACTGGTGACGGCAATAACCTGAGAAAAGTCCTCTTAAACATAATCTAGCTCATCATAGGTAAGCTCTCAACTTTAATAAAGCTTACCTATACACTGAAGATACAACTATGGTTGTTTAAATAATACCCGTTGGCCCCGTTCTGCATCAAGGTCACTGCTAGACCGAGAACTGGACCTTAAAGCTCGTCCTAACTTCGAAGAACGACGGCAAAAAAGACCTCACACTAATCCACATAGGGCTCTCTATATGGCATATAAGTAGTGAGTAAAATCTTGATTACGAACATCTATAAAACTGAAGTATTTATAGTTACTCGGGATAGCTCAAATTCGTTGAACATTAGTTACTAAAACATTCGCTAAAGCGCATTCATTAAGGAAGGGGTGAGCTCCGCTAGACATTAGCAGGTCAAAAAGTGCAGCTAGCTCGAACATGTACACAAACATGGAAAAAAGTGTCAGCCCTTAGTTTTCTGCCTAACCTGTTGTTATTCATGGTGAAGTTTTTGGCAGGATCTTCATCTTAATAATGTGATTATAAGAATTTGGGTAAATGGCAGGATGCGACTTGCAGAATATAAGTGGAAGTAGCTTTGCCTTCACTCGTCACACATAGCTTTTTTGCCAATAGACTAATTATCCCTATGCTACTGTAAGTAACTGTTACGGTTTATATACATGGTATACCACTTGAAGTTCGCTGTTCACTTCGAAATTTCACATAAATGTCCTATTGAAAGGAGCCTAATGTGTGTGAACACGAAAATATCTAGATTAGATTAATACAACCTCCAAACAATACTCCGACATAGGCCATGACACAACATTACACGTAGTTAAACACAGTTTACATTTGAATTCGAATTATTGATTTCCAAGCACATATATGATTTAATAATACATATTATTATTAAATATATATGTGCTTGGATATAATAATAATAATAGTCATCTAATTCATCG